CTCTCCAATTTCTATCGACTGTCTCCCCTTTTCTTTCCCTTTTCCCTTATTTTCCTTTTTCCTTTCTTTTTCTCCTTTTCTTTTTTTTTCCCTCTTATTTATACTTACACTGTTAAACATCACAACCGTCTATTTCATCATTTATTTATTATATATATATATATATATTTAACTTAATTATTACATATATAATGATTAAATTGAAATAAATATTAATTCAAATTAATATATTTTTAAACAAAAATAATATTTTATAACGAATAAATTTTAGTATTTAAAATATTCATAATAAATTAAAAGTTCAAAGAATAGTATATGGGATTGTGATGGGCCATAGGAGTCCATTGGCAGCCAACAAAGGTTTTTCAACGTGGGAATACATTTCCTCCGTTGAGATCAATTAGGAGTTAGTAATCATTTTCTCCTTCGATACCCAAACTCAAACTCAATGAACAAATCTGATACTCTTAGTTGTTAAAAGGGAAAAATATACAATTAACTAATCAAAGTGTATAATTCGTGAGATTAAGTTAGGATTCACGTATTTTACCAATAAGTATTTCGAATATACTTTTATTATTACTTTTTGTAAAAAAAAGAATATGAAATATGAAATGGAAATAAAGAAAAGGGGGACCAATCTCTTATAGCATGATCTTGAGACAGTTTATTGGGACCATATATATATATATATATATATGTGTGTGTGTGTGTCTTGAACTTTTCTCTTTTCTCTTTTCTCTTTTTTTTCCCTCTTGCCATGCACTTTTTCGCTCTTTCCTTCTTATTTCCAGTTGGGCAGGACCCATTATACATTTATGACTCATTAACCCATCCACACAAAAATATTTTGAACCCAAAAAATTAAAAGACAATTGTCTCCCACAATTAGAAACAAATTGTGGGGCTGGGGTATTGTGGTACCTAAAAAGTTAAATTGAGTTCCAACAATTGAATTTTGAAGTATTAATTTTTCATCTAAAAAAATATATCATATATAATAATATTATTTCATAAATAATTTAATGGTATCAGTAGATTTAAATTTTAGTTTATAATTGAGGTTTAAATTTTGATTTTTATCTAATGAAAAATTATTATATACTATGTTATACTTTTAAAAAAATAAAAAATAAAACAATTATAACCAATTAAAAAAAAAAGTAAAATATAGTTTTAAACTCAATAAAAAATGCTATACGAAGAAAATAAAGATTCTTCTTTTCTCAACAGAAAGAAGAAAGTAAAAAAAGAAAAAAATAAAACATACATTTCTAGATTTAGGGTTTCATGAATTTAATAATTAATTTTGATTAGGTTATATTCTATATATATGTTGTTGATGACGGTCAATTTCCAAACCTAACTCCACTAAGACTAATGGTGAAATTGGAAAATTAAAAAAGGAATAAAGGATGAAAAAAAAAAAAAAGTCATATTGCTGTTTTTGTGTGAACTAAATTAGATTTATTCTTGTAATAAACAATTATTTTGTAAAATTTAATTTGGGATTTTTAATTTTATTTAAATACAAAATAATGAATTCAATTCTATATAAATTAATAAATTGACACTTACTTGACAATAACTCATCCATCTAACTCATGAAAAAGTTAGATCAATTTTTTTTTAATTCATTATGTGTATTTCAACTAACATAATTTAATCATTACAAATTTTTTTTTTTTTTTGTTTCAATACACCACCATAATTTATTGAGACAGAAATTTAATTTAGTTACTATAACTTCACTTATATCCTATTGATCATATTAAATCAAACATCACGGTCCATTGTTTTATTTATTTATTTTTTTTTTTGGGGTGGGTTGTAAAATATTCATTAAGAGGCAGGGTGTCTCCTTGTGTGATTTTAGAGACCTTTCCAACTCTGTTTTTTTATATTTTAATTTTATTTTGTTGGGAAAATTAGCTGGGCACCACATTCCAGATGCAAACACTGACACAAATGCATGTGCTTTGTACGGCCCAGATCTTATTAGATAATGTAATATGAGATGACCAAGTGGACACTGTGCAGTCCACTTGAACACAATAACTTTTAAGTCTAGATTGGTCGGGAAAAAAAAAAAAAAAAATTTAATTAAATTATTTCTTTTATTTTTATATTTCATAAAAATTAATTATGAATTGGTAAATTTTATAAAAATAATTAATTTATTTTAATATCTTATTAAATTATAGAAGTATATTTATTTAAAAACCATAGCAGTAAATTTAAAAATTACTGGTTGTATTTTTTTGGCACAATCAGTAATCCTTTTTGGGGTAAAACAAAGTGAAAGTGTGCGAACCTTTAAAGCGCTCAATGTGTGGACCCCACTAAATTTTGACGAGAAAAATCGTCACGGACATTATTATCTTCCTCGCTTTCAGTTGCGGCCTGCAAACTGTTAAACGCTAAAATAGGCGGAGGCAGTTTAAAATATGAAAACGACGACGTTTAGGTTCAAATGATTGTTTTTTCACCTCATCAATATCACTTTTCTAGAACACCATTCAACGTTTTCCTTTTCCTTATCACAACTCGACGGCGTACAGTTACCTAATTTTTCCACCAATTGTTTATTTGATATCCAATGGGCATTTCCTGGTCTATAAAATCGGACATGAATGCTCACCAAAAACCTCTTCCTCTTTACATCTCATCTCACCTCTCAAATTTATAGTCTCTCTGCTTCTATCATCTTCTTCCTCTTCCCGTTCTTATCTAGATCTGAGCTTCTGATAACTCTCTTCACATTTCCTCTCTTTCTCAACTCTCCAATTTCCTTGCCAATCTTTTTCCCAAAAATTTCTTTTTTTAAAAGTTTTTGATGCTTAATATCTTGTTTTTGATCTTTGAGACTCATGTCTCCAGTACTCAGTGAAGTTCTTCTTTCTGGGTTTATGATAAACTCCAGTCTCCGGCGCAGGACCCATCTTGTTCAGTCCTTCTCAGTCGTCTTCCTCTACTGGTTCTATGTCTTTTCATGAACTCTCTCTTCTCCATCTCTATTAACCTAATAACTATTAGCCTAAAATCATCGTATAACAAATATCACAACAAATAACATCTGGGTCCTGTGCTTCTCCTTTTATCCAAGCATAATCCAGTTCTTCATCTCTCTGTTTAGGGTTTTTTTTTTTTTATTATATAATAACAATAATATCATATACTAGTAGTTTTATTGCTTCTGTTTTCTGTTGAGCTTCATATTCATGGCGTGTTCCAGTACTGGAGCAAGTTCAGGTTCAAGCGCGCTTAGAAGCTCGAGCTCCGAGGAGGATCTGCAGCAGATCATGGACCAGAGGAAGCGCAAAAGAATGCAGTCGAATCGGGAGTCGGCGCGAAGATCCAGGATGCGGAAGCAGAAGCACCTTGATGATCTGATGGCGCAAGTGAGTCAACTCAGTAAAGAAAACAACCAGATCCTTACCAGCATGACAATCACCTCGCAGCTGTACTCGACCATCGAGGCGGAGAACTCGGTGCTCAGGGCTCAGGTAACCGAGCTGAGTCACCGTCTCCAGTCTCTCAACGAGATCGTTGACCTTGTCAGTTCCGGCTGCAATGGTGCTGGATCTGCCGGAGTTGTGGGCGGCCATGAAATGTTTGATCAGATTTCCGGTGATGATGGATTCATGGCGATGATGATGAATCCATGGGAGGATTCCCTGTTTGTCAATCAGCCAATAATGGCTGCCACGGATTATGTACTGAGTTAATCTGGTTTTTCGCCATTTCCAGCCGGAGGTTCTTGTCTATTTTTATATATAATAGTTTATATATATATATATATATTATATTTCTAGAAGATTAATATTATAGAGGTTTTTTACGGAAAAAAATGGTGTCTAGGTTTTCTCTATTGGGTTATTGGTCTCTGAATTTGGCGATTGTAATTATTAATAAATTTTAAATAATTATCTTTTTTAATTTTTTTAGTTGATTCATAAATTTATTAATTAGATGATATATACAGTAATTATAACATAATTTATGTAATTCTTTGTAGATAAAAAAAAAAAAAATTCACGCTTTTACAATTTTTCAAGAGAAGAAGGGTATCAATTATTCAACATTTACATAGAGAAAAAGATTATTAATAATTAAGTACAGTACTGGTTAATTGCACAATAAATTTAAATTTTTTCTTATTCTTAGTTATATAATATATATATATATATATATATATATTAGATATACCGGTCTAGTTGATTTTGTTTTAGGAGTGGGACTAACTCTTTATTAATTGGGCTGATTGTCTTAAACTTAAATTATTATATCATTGGAGATGTTTTAATTAACTATAATGGGTATGATCAATCAAGTGCCATTAAATTAATTTGGACATTATTTTATCAAATATATATATACATATATAGTGGGTGTGGTTAATCGGAAGATGACATAATATTAAAATTATATTCTTAAAAAAGTTGACATTATTATAATTATTAAATGAGTATTAAGATTAAAAAATAAATAAATTATTATTTAATTTATTTAAAATACATCATAAATTCGAATCCCATTGTATTTCTACAGAATATATTTGTTGTGTTGTGCCCAGTTCAAGAAAAAATTGAATAGTGAGAATTGTATTATATATATTTATGTATATATGGAAATATATATATATATATATATATATATCTATAGAGAGAGAGAGGTAGCGGTTTAAAAGAATGAGAAGTATATAGTAAGGCATTATTGGGGTGTGTTTGGATTTATACGGCTGGACAAATAAAATATCAAGTGGGTGCTGAAATATGATTGTGATGAGAATATTTTGAGGTCACGATAGAATTGTATTTATTTTCTTAATTTCTTTTATTTATTTATTTTTTCATTGATGTAATAGAATTAGAAGTGGGACGAAAATCAAATTCTATATAAAAAAAAATGATATTCAATTAAATATATACTCAAAATAATTTAATTTAATTTCATAATTTCTTATAAAAAAAATGTATTATTGATTTACGTGTAAGTACAAATTTTGAATCACCATGATACAACTAAATCTTTCCTTTTCTTTTTTTTTTTTTTTGTGAATTATAATTATTTCCGATATCAAGGAATACCCTCCCTTCTCTTTTATATATTATATGACAATTATTGAAAGTCCAATACCATAGATTGGGGCTCATGTTTTTGTCAATTATCAATTTCATTTTCTTAACACTATGTATGAATCAACATTGTCTTAAAATTTATTCCAATAATAACTTACACCCACAAAAATATCAATACAGTATCTTGTAATAATAATAATAAATAATTTCAATTTGATTCATTGTGATATATATATATTTTGATAATTTATTGTACAGTGATTCACATTTTAATTTTATGCATATTTTTTATTTTTATTAACAAATAATATATTTCCGGTTATTTTTAGCGTATTAAAACTATTTTTTTTTATCAATTATATTCTCATATTTATTTATTGCATCCAATATTTTTGCTAGAATATTATGATATATATACAAGAATTCAAACAAAATTAAGCAAGTTAATAAACATAATATTTTGGTCAACAGAAGACTAATTCATGTGGTATAAAAATAATATTTATGTTGCATGGACAATAAAAGAAATAATAAATGAAAAAAAAAAAGCACTGCTTTTAATGCATGAACAAAGCAACGCATGGCATATGGTAATGTCTAACAATTAGTGATTAGCACTTTAATCTAAATATTAATAAATTAATTAACCAAAAGATTCCTCACTTAATCTTGTATAATATATATATTCTCTTTTAGAGGCTAAATGCGAGTAAGGTATGTGAGACAAATTAGGCCAAATTTTGGTCTGTCAGATGTTGAATTTATTTAATTGTATTTTCTTTTACGTGCTAATTAATTTATATTTGTTATTAGCCAAATGCCAATAGGATTAGTAGTGGAAGCAAGTGGGTACACCCTGTAAATTTTGGGTAAGCAATAAACTTCCTTGCTTAAGTCACAAATTGAGTGCTCATTCTGCATTACATTTAAATTCATGAGATAAAGTCACAAAGGCCATCTCACACATATACATACATATATGATATGATATGATATGGGAGTGTACATGAATTATATAATAATTGACTAAATTTGTGGATGTATATATTTTTTTCTATTATGAGAATTTTGAATTTTAATGCATCAAATTAAATGTGAATTTTTATAAGTAGAAGGTAAATTATTATTTTTAATTTTATGATAGGTTAAATTAAAAATAATAAAAATTAATAAATAATTAACTTATAAATATGGTTACAGTCCCCGAATTATAAATAATTAGTTAATTTTATTCTGATATTATATTATAAAAAATATAATGAGTGAGAAAACTTTAAAGGATTATTTCTTAATTTAAAAGACTAACTGCAGGATGTGTTATTTCTTCTATTATGACTTATTTGTAATTTAAATTTAAATATTAATAATTAAATATAAATTTTAGAATTTATTTTATAAAAAATAAGTAACCAAAATGACAATCTTATAAGATATGCTAAATTATTTTATCAGTTTCACAGTATGGTGGGCATATTGGATCCATTGTTGAGAGATAATTAAATTCAATATTTTTATGGAGAAATAAGAAAATATAAATATATATATATATATATATATATAAAGAATTTATTAATCATGTTTCCCGAGTTGATGTGAATTTACTAACTCGTGAAACCATACATGTATATATATACAATTTTTTTTTTTTTTGGAGTGGAACATGTGTATGTATATTATATAAAGAAAAGAACATGATTAATTAGCTATGCATGACATCAAATCACATGAAATGAAAAAGAAACTAATGATAATTGGTCAAATAAATATTAATTAGTACCACTTTGTAAAAAGGATAGCACTTGAAAGGGAAATGATCATGTCACCATATAGCTCCAATGGTTGGAGTTGCATGATTAGGGCAAGAAACCAAGGCGATTAAAATTAATTAATTAATTAAGTGAAAAATTAATAGAATTGGACAAACTCTTTGATAATTTCTTAAATAACCTTTTTTTTTTTTTAATTTAGTAGTTAGAACATTTTTCAAATAGATTTTTTATATAAACACTGTATTTTTTTTTTATAAATAATTTATGTAGAAATTAAAAAACTACTGAATTACGAAGAAAAAAATTGTGTATTTAAAGTTGAATTCGGAAAATAAGAGATTTAAATTTATTCCATTCGCTATTTTTTGAATGATACAAAAAAGAGTATCATAGAAGAATTTTTTAGAACATTGAAACTAGACAAAATTAAAAAAAATATATTTAATTTTATATTATGATTTTTTTATTTTTTATTTTTTTTTTGTTATGGAATCAGTTAAAAATTTTGACGACTTTATAAATATTTTAATAGACTTATAAATATTGTATACACGTTATCACCACTTTTAATTTCAAAATAACAAATAAAAGGTATACTTGGTTTGATTCTAAAAGAATTAAATCCTAAATTTTACTATAAATTAACACTTACTTAGAGTTTAAGATATCAATGTAATAGTTGAACCCAAAAACAAAGTTTACATTAAAAACCAACTACCAATCAACTATATGTATGTGACCCTTTTTTGATTGGTGTTTTATAAGGGGGAAAAAATCAAATGTGTTTTTTGACAACTTTAAAAGAGAAATCTGAATCTGAATTTATCTACCACTTGACTGTTAAAAGCTAAAGTGTGATCGGCATTTTATTGCCTAATTTTGTATCTAAATAATGTAAATAGACGTTCACCTTTTTCAATTGTTTTTTTAATTAATATATTTATTTTCTTGTAATTTTATACAAAATATGGTGATTCTGAGCTTTTTATTTTTATTATTTAGTTACTGTTTAATTTAATAATTAATACATTCTTTTTTATAATAATTTTTTATTCTTTTTTAATTTATATATTATGATTTCTGTATTTATGTTACATAATCGACAGATATATATTATTATTACTCATCAAAATTTATTAATGTTCTCAAATAAATTATTATCTTCATCATTTCGTTGCACCTAAAAGCTAATCTCAATTGATGATATGGCTTGCGTATATATATATATATGCATATCCATGTGTGTATATATTTAAAAACAATAGAGACTCAAATGACGTTTTAACACTAATTAAAAAAACAATGAAATATAACTATATATACATATATTGATTGATGAGGTAATCTCGTCATGCATGAACTAATAAAATAGTTTTAGAGCGCCTAGCCACCTGTTTAAAAAATTACAATATAGAATCTCAATTAATAAATAATTCTAAATTGTTTTTGACTTTTTAAGTAAAGTATTATATAATATTATGTACGTATAAATGTTCCTAGAAAGTTTTTGGGTCAATGGGAAGACAATTTATACGGCCCATTTAGTAATATACTTCTTTCGGGCTCATACATGCCCACTGTGTAATTAATTTACTGGTAATTAATTTTTTAATTCATTAACATTTACCAATTTGAACGAATTTATTAGATTTTAATTTTAAATTATATGATATTATATTTCCCAATAACATTTAGATTTGAGAGGCTATAATATAGTTTCTAGAATAAGAAGCCTGTTACACGTGTCACTCATATATTACACCACGTGTCATGCAAAAAACAACGTGTCGTCTTGACAACATTTGATAAATCGCTCTCCACCGATCAACACACCCGGATAGTCTACAAAGATATACGTAGGGTGTTTTCTGCAACTAATACTCATCGTATGATCACCGGGTTTACATGGCACAGTATCAGAACCAATACGGCGCCGTACCTACTCCGACGGCGGAATCCACCAATCTCCCAACGACCCAAACCGACGAGTACGGCAACCCAATCGGAGGCACCAGCGGAACCCACATGCAAACAACCGCTGGCCATCACAAAGAGCACCACGGTCTCTCCGGCATCTTTCATCGCTCTGGAAGCTCAAGCTCTAGCTCCAGCTCGGTACATAAACATAGAAAAACTCCATTCGGTCCTTTACATTACTTTTTTTTTTTTTTTTTTTTTTTTTTCCTGTTTCCTGTCATCGTAATCTGTTACTCTTATATATATATATATATATAACTATGTATCTGCAGTCTGAGGATGACGGGCATGGAGGAAGGAGAAAGAAGAAGGGACTGAAAGAGAAGGTGAAGGAGAAGCTGCCGGGTATGAGGCCCAAAGATGAGCAGACTCCTGCGACGGCCACTACGACGCCGTATGATGCAGGTGTGGCGTCTCACCAGCCAAAGAAAGGAGTGATGGAGAAAATCAAGGAGAAGCTTACCAGGCATCATTAATTAATTATCGTGTCTGGCAGTAATGCTTTGTTTGTATTGAAAACAGTGTTAAAGAGTCTCGAGTTTGTACTACTGTTGATCATGAGCTTGCTCGTGTATGTACGTACATGTGTACGAGAGTTATTAATAAATTAAATAAAATTTACAATTAGCTCTAATGATTAAGATTTTCTTGTTTTGCTTGAAAGTTATAAATTTGGAATGTGTCTAACTTTTTTAACATAAAAATAAAAAAATAAAGAATTAATCATTTAAATAAAGCCGGAAATATGAGTCTCTGTGCGGCAGATTGTATATAAAGACGATTTTAGGCCCAGACCCAATTCAACCAAACCCAATTGGGCAGATTCTTGTTTTACTCTGCGTATAACAGAGATCCCTTTGGGGCATTTCGACGAACGCCTTGCATTCACAACTCATTTTGTGCGAATTTGGGCGTTGGTCTCCAGGAAAGAAGCGGAAAATAGAGATGTTCAGGAGTGTAATTCTGGAAAACAGAAGTAGCAATGGTGTGTTTGGATGTATTGTTAGGTATTTTTCAAAGAAGCCAAAGCCAAAAATGAAACCTATTGAACTTAAGACTCCACCAGAGCAAACCCAAACAATCACCAGAGTTGTCTTCGATATCTTGAAGGAGCACGGTCCTCTCACTATCGCAGAGACTTGGGAACACGTCAAGGTCTAAATTCCTCTCACCCCCTCCCTTCAAATTCTTTTCTTTCTAGATTCATTTGTTGCTGGATTTGTTCGCTTGATTAACGTGAGACGTTTTTACAGGAAGTTGGATTAAGGGGATTGACAAGCAAGAATCACATGAAAGTGGTGTTGAGATGGATGAGGGAGAGGCAAAAGCTGAGGCTTATATGCAACCATGTAGGTCCTCACAAGCAATTTCTCTACACGACTTGGTTCGGAAAACCCAATCTCAATCAACCAAAACCTGCAAGACCCATCAATAATTCTTCCAAACCAACATCTCCTTGAGATTGGAGGGTGTCATGGGTGGGTGGCTGTATCTTCACTTTCAACATATTTCAGTGCTTGTTCATTGCGTGTTATTGAGTTATATATAATTAGTTAAAGATTCCCAGATGATTGTAAGTGTGTTTCAGTTTATGTTTCAGGGAAAAAAGCTTTATCTCTATTGCCAATAATGGAAAAGAAAAAGCATTTTCAACACATGAAACCAGAAATGGGTAACATGTGAACTAAAGAGACCACTGTTTTCCCCTGCAAATAACTTACACCCATCTGAAAAATAACATAAAATTTTAAGGTTGAAGAAAAAAGTGGCTTGCTTGGCCTTTGTTTACTCTCTGAATTTGCATTACCCAGTAATCATAGTACCAGCTCCTTCATCGGACATGATTTCGTGAAGCAACGAATGCTGTCTCCTGCCATCAATAATACTAGCCGTTCTCACTCCTTGCGCGAGTGAGCGGATGCAGCAATTGACTTTAGGAATCATGCCACCCGCAACTTTGCCTTCTTGAATCATCTTCTTCACTCCTTTGATGTCTATCTCCTTCACCAAGCTGCTCGGGTCGTCCCGGTTCTCGAGGATCCCCGCGACATCGGTCAACAGAATCAACTTCTCGGCGCCCAATGCAGCGGCTATCTCTCCGGCGACTGTGTCCGCGTTGATGTTGTAGGATTGCCCGGACTCGTCCGCGGCCACGGATGCAATCACAGGAATAAGACCGGAGTCCACAAGCGGCCGGAGCACATTAGAGTCAACACGGGCAACCTCCCCGACGAATCCAAGCTGGGCGGAGTTGGGCACGGGACGGGCAGTGAGGAGTCGGCCGTCGATGCCCGATAATCCGACGGCGGTGGCACCCGCTGTGTTAATGAGGGAGACAAGGTTCTTGTTAACCTTCCCGACCAAAACCATGGACACGATTTCCATAGTGGCGGCATCGGTGACCCGGAGGCCGTCGCGGAACTCGGCTTTGATGTTGAGTTGCCGAAGGTAGTGGTTGATGTCGGGTCCCCCGCCGTGGACGAGGACGGGCCGGAGTCCAACGCAGGCGAGAAGGACGAGGTCGCTCACAACGGAGGCCTTGAGTTCCGGGGAAGTCATGGCGGCGCCGCCATACTTGACCACAATAGTTTTGCCCCTGAATCTCTGGATTAAAGGCAGGGATTCAGAGAGGATCTCGACTCTGTAGTCGCTGGGGATTAAAGAGTCGACCGTGGATGTAGCCGGAGGGGAAAGAGTGGAGGAAGCTTTGATCGACGGGTAGCGGCATTTTTGGGGAAGAAAAGGGAGATTTGGGGATTTAAGGGGTCTATGAGGGGATAAAGAGAGTGGTCTGGGTTGAGGGAGATTTAGGGATTTGGCAGTGACTGTAGCCATTTTAGCTGTTTCCTCCGCTACTCGGCCGCGCTGTAAGTTTCTTCTGGGCTTTTGTCGCCGGAGGAAGAAGAATTCGTCAGTCGTGGCGGCGGAGTCGGAGAGACTTTGAGATGGAGAGTGGAAACCGGGAGAGAGGTTCTGGACAACGGAAAAGAGGCGCAAATCCTGTGGGGCCTACCTCACGCGAAAACATGCGTGAGCACGTCTGAAACGGTACTAGAACCCACCGTTTTTAGTTCCTAAAGCCACTTCGTCGTAGGTTTAATGTAGATTTAATTAAGGTTTTTGTTTCTGAAAAATAAAATTTATGGGTAAAAATTTAAAGAAACAAATTTTATATAAAAACTCAAGGAGTCTATTTTGATTTATTTATTTTTCTATAAAATATTTGTAATTGGAAATATTATTTTTCATCTGATTTTTAAAATTCTTAATTATGAATTTGATTATAAAAATAAAAATAATAATAATAAAATGTCACAAGTTTTCCAACTTAAATGTTAGCATAATAGCTATGGCACAGAGGAAGATAAAAAAGGAAACATATAAGATTAATGGTATCATCATCAAACTGCAAAGGACTTGTTCTTTTTTTTTTTTTTAATGATTTTGGAACATTGAATTTAATGAATGATTATGATTAGATATTAAATGAAATAAAAAATGTATCATATAATTTCGGTACTTAATATATTTTATTTTTTAAACCATTATGGTACATTTAATTTTTTTTTATACATATTTAGATGTTTTAAAAATATTTTTTCAATTTTTAATATTAAAAGTAAGTAAACAAGTAAAACATATGTAACAATTTTTTAAAAAGATAATATTATATAACATAATATAAATAATGTCTAAACAAAAATAAATATAAAACGAAATTAAATGACTCACCAAACTCGTGCCGTTTTATTTGTCTCCAGAGCTGTCTTCTTCTCGAGAGCTCAAGGGTAGTTTCGTCACTTGAAGAAGTTGCCCTGAATCATTTTAAGCTCTCCTGTTATTGGTATTTTCTTCTTGATTTCCCCTGGTCGCCGGCGGTATTCACGTTTAGGTGTTTCTCTTGCAAGGATCGCATTTTCTCTTCCATGCTCTGTTGTCCATAAAAATTTTATTATTGAAATGGAGATTAAGCCGAATCTCGGCAGATTCCGTAAGTGAACTTGATGCTTTAACGGTTATTGATTGTACACATCTGGTTTAGATTCTCTCCGACTAATTTACAAGGATGTAGTAGTATCGTCTTCCTCCTTTTGCATTGGAGTGTAACTTGCATTTATAGAGATTCCACTGATTATTAATTGCCTTCAAGTTACTGGTTTAGAATTCGTTTTCTTTTGAATGTTCGCTTTGTATTTTATCATTGCAAGCTAATTTTACTTTATCGACATGTCACGCTCTTTCATTTGAAGCACTGCGGGGGAAGAATGTGCCGTTTAAATGTGTATCCTTTAACTGCATACTCGTTGTAGTCACTGGTAAGGTCGTCAATTCACCGTTTCTTCATTAAGCTTCGTTTGTTGCTTTAAGTGATAACAGTTAGCGTTATTGTTTGTAATATAAATTCACTTGTCTCTTTCAGCTGTTCTTTTGAAGGCTCTTGGAGCTGCCTCAGTGGTGGTACCGAGAACTAATTGCTATGCTCTTGATAATTCCAGTCGTCTTCTTGACTTTGTATCCTCTCTAAGTTAATTGAAAGTTTCAAACAAACAATTATTTATAAGGCTAATATAGGGATAGAAATATTAAAATGGCACGAGGAGATACGGGGACTTGGTTTTTGATGCCAAGCCATCTTCAATTAAAATTCTTTTATAGATTTCATATGGATGTTTTTCTTAAGTTGATTTCTAGAGTGGCTGGATTGGATATCCATTTGAGTATGAAGGGAAGGTGAGTCCCATATATCTTATTTTTTCCTTAAAAAATTTACTGTTACAATGTGCAATAAGCTAAGTGTGTAGGTCATGCTGCTTTGTGTATCAAGCAATTATCTTAAGTTTCTATTCTTGCAGGAAGCTGATTTGGTGGTTAGATTTTGCAAAGACGTTGAGACTAGATCCCAAACGGTAGTCTATACCATCATGTTCTCAAGTATAAATCATTTTGCTTCTTTTTCCCATTTGAAACAATTGTAACAGATAATACAAGGCTCCTTCCTGCACTCTTTGTACTAACCCATGAGGTGTTAATGGCCAGTCGAGTGATGAACTAAATTTAGAAATGTAAATAATATAAACATATGCATTAACAATTTGAATTATTTTCGTTGTGAATAATATTATCCTACTGTTTTTTTTCCTCAAAAAGTGATATTATGTTTAGAAGCACTTGCATCCTCATTTTGGGTTAGAAGCTTTTTGTCATACAACTCACGGAAATTAATGGCTTCAACAATTGACATTCGTTAAAATTTAGACTTATAGTTGGTTTCGTTCAATTCCTTTGTGTTCTCATTCTATTCATTAGTCTAATAATTGGTATGTAGGAGTAAATCATAATTTTCATAATTGATTCACAATTGAATCAATTCTACTCATATATCAAATTATATAGTGATGGATTTTTTTTACTTAGGATTTTTGTTCTAACTCCGCTAAGTAGGAATTTACAAATTCAACTAGGTTGAATTGGATATGGAACTAGAATACTCTAATAGAATTTGCATTTGGACCCAAGCATAGCTCTATGGTCAACTATAGTTCTTTCCCGTTTATCGGCCTCCTAAACCTTCAACCCAAGGAAAAGGGAGTTTTTCGCAGAACCATTAGAACCATTTTGGTCATGGTTTATAGTTTTATGGTCCTTATTTTTGTTTATAACGGTATATAGTTTACTGCTGCATTGGTGCAGTGTTTCTATAATGCCTTACAGTGGCTACAGAACAGACGTGTTACATATTGTTATTACGTGTATTAATCACGAAAAATCAAGATTTCATCAATCATCAAGTGCAGAGAAAATGTGAAGAATGTTATTTGATCTGGAAGTGGATATTTTCATTATTCACACTCTAGGGGTGGTGTTAGAATGTTTATCTGAAGTCACATTCCCATATTCATGCAGGGATATGTAGATTTTGGCAGATTTGATCAATCCAACTATTTTATTGCTGGTTCAGGACATGTTGACTTTATTCAAGTGAGCTTCCTTTAAGAAGTTTGTTTGTGAATGTCATAACTATAAATGAAGTAGCTGGCATTCCTTTTGCAGTATTATTCTGTTTTACAAAAGACGGCAGGTCATTCCATGTAATGAGAAAGCTTGACAGACTATTAGGACAGCTTTAGCTTAGTTTTTATTTAGTTTTCTTATATTCTTTTGAATAATTAACCTGATCCAAATTCAGGTAAGAGGAAGATAAAGGTAACATTAGTGCTGGATAATATGAAATGAAGAAGATTCGAAACTAGAAAGGTTATGCATAAGAGATGAAATTTAGAAAATCTTTTAAACTAAATTTATTCAAAATACATTCAAGTAATATTTTTGGAAAGGGAAGAAACTCCTCAAAGAAGACAAGAATGTTGTGTCCAAGGACAGTGGAATGAAAAAATCCATTTGCTATTGAAAGATATTCCTGATGGAATGCCCCTGAAAAAACTGTTTCTTGAAGGCGCAATCTGTAGACCACCTTCAGCACACCGTGTTTGTAAAAAAGCATGGAAATGCTATCCTCCTTTGGTTGTCTCCTATTCCTTTTGTAAGATAGTTTTACTTCATACCATTTCCAACAAAAAACTTGAAACTTGGTTTTTGATACTCTTAAACTAGTTTTGGAAGTTTTTGCACTATTCTCTGTTAAGTGTAGGCTTAATGTTCTATTGTTGTTAGTTTGAAGCTGATTTTTAGGTTTTTAAAACCTAACATATTTCACTTTGTTTTCAGGGGTATTACTATGGTGATCTGATGAATTGTGAGCAGAGTTATGACAAAATGGGCCGTACAGCTCAGGTTTTACTGTGCTTCTGTGCATTTCTGTTCTTGGATATTGTTTGGACTTGTGTGATATTAGTATAGTTGGTTATTAATAAGATACCCTTTTATGAAGTCTGCAATTTTTTGCCTCAGTTAATTGATACGGATTTAATTAATCTTTTTGTTTGTGTTATTTTAGGTAAATATGATATGCGGAAATTGTTTAAATGAAGAATGTAGAGGTCTGTATGCTCTTCATGTCCAAGATTTGGGATGTAGCTGTTTGAAGTGCTACCAATAATATTGTTTATTCTTCATTAAATTTAGTGATTTTTGTTTTGATGGCTCAAATGCTACCAGACTCTGCCTTTCCCACAGTGTTAATCATAATTTAGTCACTAGATAACACAGCTGATACACACACAACACACATGCACACATTTTCTGCACTCAAATTCTCATAAATGCATCGATCTAGGAATGCTCAAGGTTTAATGTTTTACAAGGTATCTTTAGGTTTCAAGGACACTATTACCCTAAGATTGACATAGGACTTTCTAATTCTAAGTGATAGGATAGTAGGACTTTGTGCATTGAATTAGGGTGAGCTAGTGATGTAATCATCAACATGATGCCAGCTTTATGGTCTTGTAGGTTTTCTTTTTTACTTCTGTTCTTTGGCACTTGCAGAAAAATTTCTTAGAAGTTTTCAATACATTGCCTCTTTACCTTTGATTTTATGGCTTTGTGATTCCGAAAAGTTGAACAAGCTTCTTAAGAGGCATTCCCTTTCTTCTTATTTCAGGTGGGCTTGGCTGCATCTGCAATGTTACTTACAAATCACCTTGCAGGTTATGTGATTGTTGATTGCTATTTTATAGTTCAGGAACTGCTGTCTGTATGATACTGGTGCTATAAACAATTGTTGTAGCCTGTATTAGAAGTGATTAATTACTGACAACCAGTGGGTTGAGGGCATGGGGGGCCTTGTAAATTGACACAAGGGTTCTTTGCAAGAAGAACTCATTATTAAAATCCTCATTGCTAGAAGGACTAGAGGCCTTGTTGTGTTTGCTACTCCTGTATTGATATGTTTCATTTGGTATGGTAGATGATTAAATTGATGAGTAACAAAGTGGAAATACACAAATACTAAAACAAAAGTTGGGTAGACAGATGTGGAGGCTATTGTATTCAGTATCGGAGTTGGATAGATACAAATTATCATGTGATTGCTTGTGCTAATAATAAGACATTTATTGAAAATCTTAGTGTACATGTATGCACGCGGGACCAGGGGGGTTGGGTGTACGGTGGGGTTCCAGCTATATCATTTTTTTTTTCCAGTATGGCAAAGAGGAATCAGATAGATTTCTTAGTAGTTTAAACGCAGGTGAGTGAAGTATACCTTGACATAAAGTGTGTGTTCAATATTTTAGTTATTTCATTTTATATTATTATATTGCAATTAATCTTTATTCTTAGATGAGGGTTTCTGATCTTTGTAATATTTTCAAGTGATTAATTATCATTTGATGGCTGTTTATTTAGAAAGATTAATTATTTCCCAACTTTCACTAAGCTATTACTGGAACTTTAAAGGAAAGGTTTCCAAGTTTCTACTAGCTTTCTATATGGGTATTGATGCATGATTCTCTCTCTCTAGTCCCAGGACTCAGGTTTTTGCAATTTGGTGTTAAAACATGTCTTATACAATCTACATTGCAAGGATGCTTGTGCTTCAAGGAGAAGCAGATGAAGAAATGATGAAATAGAAAGAGAAAGAAAGAAAGAAAGAAACTCAGTGCTGGATGTCATATCTGATTGTCAAAAGCCTTCATATATGT